TATATATATATATATATATATATATATATATATATATATATAGATTAAACTCTCTCTTGATGTCACATAGAATCAACTGAAGTGGGTACTATGATTTAGAAAACCATGGCATCAGTTGTAGCAAGGATTTGACGGGAAATATATTAGAACTAAAAAGTTTATATAAGGTTGCAATATTAAAATGTAGAATTACGTATACGCCTAAAAAATCCATCAAAAAATGTTGCTTTAATATTAGAAACCCTTTAATTGATCATCTCGACATTGAGATGCATGAATGTGAAAAAAAATAATTTTGAGTCCAAAAATTAGTTCATCTTGTAACACATTATGCAGACCGTCCATTTTCAAGATTTTCATGTGTTTATAGATCTACTTGATTTTAACCATTTTTGCCGTTTACAGTTTTATAATTAGATATGAAAATAGATTTTAAGATAATCCTAATATGTTTTTACACCAACATTACATATTATGATAAAATTTGGAGGTGCGCCTTAATTGAATTGTTTAAGGTTGCAACCTTATAAAAACCACACTCATATTAGAATTCACCTAGGAGATGAACTATTTTAAATCTTACCCCATTTAATTTTAAAAATTCCATAAAAAAATACATGTATTCATGAGTTGTAACAGTTAGAAAAGAGAATATTGTTAAATAATATGTTTGGTGAGGTTACAAAAATTTTCAGGACTAGAATGCTTTGTTTTCTTTTCTTAATGGTGATAACAATTGCACAACCGAATTCTATCTTTCTTTTTCCTCTGCTCCCCTTTTCCAAAGAAACCCAATCCTTGTTCTTTTTGTGAAACAATTCTCAAGGAGGCATCAAGCCTTGATTCCTCTTCTTCAGGGTTTCATTAGTGTGTATTGTGTCAGTGTGGGTCGTGTTACTCTTCTTGGACAAGATCAGAGAGAAGCGTTTCTGTGCATAAGCTGCAGGAACCAGAATCCGAGTGTTTTGGTTATGGATTTTCTTTTTATTTTTCTCTGTCTCCCTCGGCTTTGGCATGGGATTCGGTTCTTGACCGAGGCGAGTAACCTGGGCAAGGTGAGATCTAGAGGGCTTACCTTAAGTAGTGAGTAGTGTACGAGTCCAAAGGGAACTAAAAGATGAAAAATAGGAAATTTTTCATAAATAATAAAAATGGTAAATACCAAGAGTGGAAAAAATGAAAAGAGCGAGCCAGATTTCTTCCTCTTTTTAGAGAGAGAGGAAAAGGGGGCAAATTTCTATACCCTTTTAGAGAGAGAGAGAGGAGCATTTTGGAGAGAAAATTTTGAAAGATCTTAGAGAGAATAGATGTGGGCTACCGAACTTCCAGCAATTAGCCCCTTTTCAAAATTACTTACTAACAAAAAACAATGAGACAATTTACTTTTCATATAACAAGGTTGAAAATCAGTCTTAACTATTAGATGTGAAATCTAATGGCTAGAGAGGTGTCATTGACTAGACTCGATATTCAAAAAACCTTTTTTCAAACTTTGTGACCTACATCCGGTTTCACATCTTATTGCTAGTGGTGATTGTGACCTTTTGACATTAAAGACAAGTGCAATTGCTTATTTTTATTATACCACTAAAGGACCAATCCCAACAGTCCAATTAGAAGGAACGGTTGGGAGCGTCACAGTACATATAACTTCAAAAAAGTCCATATAACTTGCACATAAGAGTGACATACTAAAAAGCTCCCCCTTTGAGGGATATCTTTAAAATTCCACCCACCCTCATCAAGCTTTCCAAGGACATGAGAATTACAAGTTGTAATTAGAATCTTGCTTCCTTTTTCAAATGCTGCTTATCAATAACTTGAATATCATCTTTCTTTTCTTTTCAGTCTTAATATCTTGAATATCATCCAATACGAGAAACAACTTTCATCCCATCTAAAACTCGACAAATCTCCTTTTGTGCCCATTTTAATGTAGGAGTTTTTGGGCATCAAATTTCATATGTGAATCAGGACATCTTAGTATCAGGAGAAACAATGGAGTAAGGGCAAGCCTTTTGGACACACTAATCCATATCAATTCATCAAAATGGTCTGTTACCCTTTGATGTTTTATGGCTTTGAGAGGATTGTGGTTTTGCAGTACCTCATCCCCACTTACAAAGAGCATAAAGGCCCCATCTCTTCTTCCCTCATCTAGTAGCCAAGGAACTAATATGTCCAGTTCTTTTTCCCAGTCTAACAAACCAGGAATACATGGCCCAGTCCTGCGCTAACACCAAGCTCTCTGACTCAAAAGCATTTTCTTTTTTTAAACTATTTGATTTGGATGGGGAATCTACCATTTGGGTTGAAATCCAATCGAGCATTTCGGTGATCTTCTTAGTCCTCTTGCCTATTCGGTGGTGGAATTCAGTATTAGAAAAGGAATGATGGAGTATTCTTTTTGCTTGTGTCTTGGCTTCTCTAGCACTGATCAACACATAAGCAATTTCATCACTTCCATCACTAAGCTTCTTCGACTAGGCATTTGGGACATCTCCTTAATTGTGCCTTATCTGTTCCTTCGCTTAGAGCTGCTTCATACTTGATCCCGAGATTCTTGAGTAGCAATTTTTTGGGCTTCTCTAATACCGAGGAGCTTAAGTTTTATAGCACTGATTCAACAATGGCTAGTATCATGCTTCTTCTTGCCAGGCATTTACCTTTTAGTTTTTATACACATTACGCATCCAAACAACGTCCCTCCCAGATGATGCATTGCATCCTTCCGTTACTCGATGGCCCTCGAATTTTTGAAAGAGAGAAACCAAGTCTAATCCCTTAACATGTATCAGAAGGAAATTTTATTGATTTATTTTAAAAGTTGCAACGAAGAAATGTCAGCTTTTCATTAAAGCAAGCATTTGGTGGGTACGAAAGTGTTGATTTGTAGAGAAATAGCTCCAACCCAACTTCCCAAGCAATCATAGTTTTAGAACCAACCCAAATTTAAATAAGAGAATTCATGACAAATATAGATGAAATTTCTTGAATAATAAATGATTAAGTAAAATGAACTCCCGCCTCAGCTACCTGAGTAGGCTCATAAAACCCAAAAACTATGAACAAATTCTACAGAAATTGCTGGTGCCAAAATATGAATAAATTCTATCTGGTACCAAAATATGAATAAATTTTATGGAATTTGCTTCATCAATATTAGGAGCCTGGGCTAAATTTACACATAAATACCCATACAGCCTTGCTCAAAGTGACAAAAAAGAATTAAACATAAAAGATGATCACATTCTTTTGAAATTTTCAAGGACTCCACTAAAACATCACTAAACTGGGTGCCTGAAAAATATTTGCCAAATTTTTGG